CTAGGAGCACAACCTCCAGCAAAAAAACAAGAACAAGAGATTCCCTTTCATCACTTGCAATGAGTGAAGCGGTAAATGTGTGAAAGAACGTTTATTAATGCTGAAATTTTTGTAACCATTTGTTACAAACCAGTAAATGCATTCTGTTCTCATGGGCTTCTGTAGAAGAAAACATGGCATACAATATGGCGTCGCTCAGAGACTTAGACCCACTCCCATGTATCTTAGACCCAATTTTTATGGTTAAATGTTATTAAATCGCCATTATTTTTCAACAACTGGATATCTTTTGATTCATTTACAACATTCCAATGGATATTTCCAGAGGTTAATGGTAAAAACTACACATTGTCACTTTAAAGGTCCTATATGTAAGAATGACGCAAAAATGACATCCTGTGGTCAACTTTGTTACTGCAGCCTATTTTTATGGACAAAATGTCACTTTCTCACTACCTTTCCCTGAGTTTCATTGTTGTTGCCAGTCACAGATCAGCACCAGAAGGTTCTAGATGACGAGTCTCACACAATGAGTTGATATGTAAGTGAATACATTATTATATCTGGTGTTTGCACTCTTGGGTGTTTTGGCGTAGGGATCACTTACTACACTTGTTATGGGAATATTTTTCTGGCTTTGGGGGAAGTGCTGGCTGTTAGCTTGCTGGTATAGTTCTGAACGTCTCATTAAAGGAAGTACCATTGACTAATTATTAACTTCACACATAAATTTCACTGTAATGTTGAGTTGTTAATTGAAAAGGTAGCTTGAGATAGTTTTAGAGGTGACTAATGCTTCTAAAGGTGGTCTTCCTGGAACGCTACTCATCCTAAAACAGCTCTGTACAGCATGGGTGTGATTTTTACTTGTGAAAAATAGCATGAGGGGATCAGTAAATGGTGTTAGGCAACTTGTATGCTCCACAGAAACACAACTCAGCTGAAAAAATGTTGGTGTTGCTGGACATTTTGCTCAGTTTTAGGGCTTTTTGTCAGACTCTGTACCAGGAAATGGCTGCAGGCAGTGAAACAGAAAGCAAAAAAAAACTCCAGAGCAACTAGTGACTCCGCCCCCTAGCCAATCAGCAGCCAGAATCACATATTCAGCTGACTCAGCCTTGCCTGGTACCTCAATGGAGCATGGACTAAAAATAGGGGAGAAAGTAGAGGGAAAATACTGAACCGTGCCCTTGGAAACAGTGGTCGGGCCGAGCTGCAACGGTCCGAGTGGCTCTGAGCAGTGTTCCTGGAAAACACTGGGAGCCCCAACGCATCGGAAACAAACGCATGGTCACCCTTCACCAGATTTAACCGCTTCGGGTGAGAGGATGTGGCTCTCAGATTGTAAACGATAACTATATTCCTTTATAGCTTTTTTGAAAGGAGAAAAATGGAAAATCTCCCAGCGGGCTTAAAAGGAAACGTTCAAATGTAACCTTCCTTCCAACATGGTTGAGACATTAGACAGTTTTGTGACTATTTCACTGCAGAATTCTTGCATATTGCTCCTTTAAATCAGGAGTACAACTAACACTGCATTTCAGATAAATATTGTACTAGGCAACCATGATAGTGGAAATGTGTGATGGTGTGTCGTCGTTGTTGTAAATGAGAATGAGAGATGAGTTCTCAATCGACTCATCTGGTCAAATAAAGGTTGAAATAAATAAATAAAAACATCTGGGGCTGCTTCAGTCCTGGACTACTTGCTGTCATTGATGAAACCATGATTTCTACTCTCTAGCAGAAAATCTTGAATGTCTGAACTTTGACCTTAAACAGGCTTTCTCCAATAGCCATGCTTCCACTGTAGGATTTCCAGGAAATTTCTGGGATGGAGTCTTGTCTGATTCTGAAAGTTGAGCAAAAAAAACAAAAAACCCCAAAACCACAAAAAAACATGGTCACGTTTAGGTTTGATGAAGGTAAGGCGATTAACTCATTCACTGCCAGCCGTTTCCTGATCGCTAACGGCCTTCGCTGCCAGCGTTTCTCACCATTTTTACTGTTTTTTAAGAGTCACAGAACGTTGCGAGCTAGGATGATGTCGACGCCAAAAACACCAAAACAAAGAGGAGACTCACCTCTTACATCAGGAAGAATCCGCGTGTTTCGAGCGTTATCCGTTCTTTCATAATCCGTTGTCGAATTGTGATCGGCAGACACTTTTCCGGTTCGCGCCTCACTTTTTTTTTTTACAGGAACGGCCCAAAACGATCTCCTAACACATGGATTTTCTGCTTCCTGATCACGTGACGTGTGACGTATGCGGATGAAGATCGGCTTCAGGGCTGAGATGTTTGCTGTCTCAGCGCGGGGGCTCGTTCGGATGCTCAAACATTTAAAAAATGCAAATGACGACTTAAGTCGTCATTGGCAGTGAATGAGTTAATAAAAAGATGCTTAAAAGTTTTTAAATAAAATTAGAACTCTAGAAAGATTTATTCATCTTGTAAGCCATTCCTTTTACTGTCATGTTGGGTTTTAGCCGTCTGACCCAGGACATCCCGAATCAACTCAGAACACAGGGATTACGGCGAGTAAACGATAATTTATTATATCTAAGGCGAACTAAAAGAGCATCATCAAGAAGGCGAGGTGAATATCTGGAAACTCTGTCCAGTCTCTTTAGTCCAATCGCTCTTAGGAGCGAGACTCGGGACTCGGGAAGGAGGAATGTCCAATCGGTAGGTGAGTGGCAGGAGCAGAGGGGGGCAGAGTGAAACTCGGGAGATCCACGGAGTCCGGGGAGGATGCAGAGGGCGGAGGAGAGCGGGTCGGTCAGGCTTGGCTGGGGAGCTGAGAGACAGGCGTGAGTCCAGAGTTATGGTAGGTCCTGTAGGTGGAGGCTGGGGATTCTAGAATAAAGGCTCGTGACACTCAGGTAACACTAGGTTGAGTAATCATCCAGCGCTGAGGTGTGTCTCCCTGCTCCTTAAGAAGCCGGCCGCTTGATGGCAGACAGATGGCCGCTCTCCGGTTCCGCCTATCTGTAATTACTCAGAAAGAGTGCTAGGTGTGTTCACTCACCTTCGACCATGTCATTTACTGCTTCATTCCATAATTTCCAATCTAGGCCACCTGTCTTAACTTTAAGTGCACTAAAGGCTATTTTTTACTGCAAGAACTCTTGTCTCGTATTGGGGTTACAGTTGCTAATTCAGGCCACGTAGGACTTTAGGCTCCTGAGAGAGCAAAGAGTTACTCCCCTTCAGTTGCTGAGATTGATTTTTCACATCTGTATCAAGCCCAAAGAATATAGAAACCGCAAACGCTAACTGATAAAACCTGAGTAGAAAAGAAGGAGGGTACTGGTGGGGGAACATTTACACACAGCCTGGGCTTATATAGTTCAAGCGCCCAGAAGGTGCAGAAATCTAAAGTTTTAAATCATGGAAGCAGCTCCAGAGACTAAAACGGATCGTTGATGGTGGTATTTATCAAACAGCACAAATGTGGCAAGGTGGATAAATGAGGGCCCAGGCGGGATTCGATCCCCAGACTCCCGGGTGAGAGTCATACGCTCTAACCAGTCAGCCAAAGTGACATCCCCTTGGCCAAGTAGCCAGGGCGCATCATCAATCGGGACATTGTGACAGGACGCTCACACTGTCACAAGCAACATTGACTTTGATTTTTCACGAAGCTGAATTCTTAAACGAAAAAAGAGAGAGATGGCAGCGTTCAGATAGGAATAAATAGGTAATGACTGTAACACGGGTCCTGCTCATGCAGCAGCATTTGGTCCATTTAGGATCTGCTTGCTGCAGATGAAGAATGTCTCTCTGCTGCTGTGCTCGACAACGTCAAGTATCATCAAAGCAGACTAGAGAACTTGACCTCGCCCGGTCTTCACCACAGCTCTGGGGTTAGCCTTTCCTAATTTAACCCCAGTCTTGTTGTCTTGTTGCCAGGGCAAAGGAAAGGCCCCTCAGCATGGCGCCACCCTGGGTAGGACCTCCGCTGGGGATTCTGTCCTCAAAAACCACAGAGGACCTCCACCTGACATCTCGTCCTCCGAAATTATCTAATTGCAGGATCTCATGGAAGAAGAACAGATGCCACATCCAAATGTTAAATGCTTTCAGTATGGATAGTTGTATTTTTTATCTTTTCTTTTTTAATCTTTTAACATAAAAACACAACAAAAAAAAGTTAATGGCTAAAGTTAGTTTAGCAAAAAGCTTTAATGCTGGTAAAGACTGATGCCAAAAGGAAGCTGCTGCATTTTCTGAAGCTAACTTCAGTCTGATGAACACTTTCAGGATTCTTGACACAAAATATTTGACTGAAAACATGTCGGCCCTAAGGTGTGCTGTTTTTCAGATAGTCTGAGTGAAGGCAACAGCCCAAAACACATGCTGTACATGAATCAGTAACTACAGAGATCACTAATCCGTTATTCATTAGATATAAAATACTGAAATTTCCTGACTTGGTAGAGTGGAAAATTTTGCAAATAATGTACAGAGCGAATACGAGTAATTTACCAACTAATATTCAGAAAATGTTTCATAAGAGAGTAAGAGGGTACATGTTAAAAGGGACTGATGTCTTAAAAAAAAACTAAATTCAGAACCAAAATGAAGGAATGTAATATTTCTGTAAATGGTGTAAGATTGTGGAATGCACTTAACAGAGAAATTAAAGAATCAAACTCACTTGCTATATTTAAAAAATGTATGAAATCAAATGTATTAAGTAATTATGAAAAGGTAAATTAAAATGCCAATGATTATATATAAAAATTAGAAAGGGACTGAGGTTATATTGTAAATGTTTTATGGATAATTTTCTTTTGTAAAAAGGGGCAGACATTATGAGATTTTTCTTCTATCTGCTCCTTTTCATTCAAATGTATTTTGTTCATTATGTTTATGTTCTGTATTTGCTTGTGTTTATTTTAGAAATTTTGAATGAAATATATGTATATATATATATATATATATATATATATATATATATATATATATATATATATATATATATATATATATATATATATATATAATGTCCTGGTTTGGGGATTGAGTCACGATCAGAAAGTCGAGGGGGGATGTGCGGGTGGTTCAGGTGGCTGACTGCGCCGCAGCGTGTCACTCAGGTGGAAGAGCCCCAGACAGAGCAAGAGCCTCAGCGCTCTGAGGAAGCTGTCCCGGTGCAGAGTGAAGGGATTAGCGGTGCAGTGATGTATTCTCTACCGATGCTAACGACAATAGCATCATAAGCGTTGAGCTTTTTGCCCCTGGCTGTAAATGACTGCTTGTTTTTTTTTTTTTTTTGCCCCAACGATCGCTTTGTCTGCTGACGTCCCACTCACAAGAGCACAGTGCATTTTGGGATGCGTCAATTTCCACATTTAACATAGGGCTAGACAGAGAATCACACACGGTTTCAGTGTAAAGTCACTGGAAAATTTAAAAATAAAAGTTCTGCAGCGATGCTATTTCATATATATGAAGCTTACGTGTGACCAAACGACTTATTTATGCACAGCATCGTTGCAGAAGTGCAGTGGTGTGTTTTCATGGCTTTAATCCTGGCAGTTGAGAGGAACAACATCATATATGACATCAAACATCGATATCAAACATGATTCTCTTCTTTTTGCTTTAATGGCGGATTGCATTAACAAACCGTGACCTGAAATCTCGAGAGATCTTGTAATCTCGCGAGTCCAGCGAAGAGCATTGCGCAGCCGCAGCAGCAGCCTCAGGAGCAAAACAACCAAAGCCTTTGATGACGTCATAAAGGCTTCGGAACACTATAAATAGGTCGTCAGACCACACAATCAGTTCATTCTTTCCGAGAAACCTCACAGAGCGACAACGCGTGACAAGGCCTGCATAGTAAATCAAATTATCTTATTTATTCTTTTAAATTAGAATAAATACAACTAGCTAAGGACTTATTTAACATCAATTTACAAGTTTTGTGTCAGGGACTCCAAACATCCACAATAACTCTTGTTTCCACAAAAATAGGATCGTATATAGACCAAGAGTTTAATAAACAGCCAGCCGAAATGGATTTAATTTCTAACTTTACACTCCAAATTGAGCAGCTTTTTCTTACTGAAAGACAAAAGATAGAAGAGTTGAAAGCAGAATGTCTGAATGATCATTTGCTGGTTTCAAATGAACAAAGCATCAAAAATGAACCCAGTTTTCCCATTATAAACCAGCTTTCAGAAGATTTTGAACAGAAATTTAGAGAAGAAAGAGATTCTCACTTACAAACAAAAGAAGTGAACCAGGAACTCATTGAGCGTCTGAAAGCTGATAACGGGGCTCTCCTAGCACAGATGGATGAGACGAAGACAGCTCTGGAAGAAATGAAAGTTTCTCACCAGAAACTCTTAGAAAAATATAATAAGGATGTTCTTACCACCCAAGAAATGATTGAACATCTTGAAATTGAGCTAGAGGATGAAAAGGAGGCTCACCAAATGACCATATCTCAGATGCAAGCAAACATCCCTGAGAAAAACAAACAGGAAGAACCAATTAAAGATCTCTTGAAAAAAATACGCATTTCACATCAAGAGAACATGTTTGAAGACAAACTTCTTTATGCCAAACAAAAAGCAGAACATTTTGAAAAAGCATTTCAAAAGGAATTTCAAGAACATCAAATTACTAAGACTAAACTGGAGGATTTAAGCAGTAAAATGACCCAACAGTGTGTTGCCCAGCAAACCAGTTTTCAAGAGACCGAGCCACAACTAGGACAGGCAGAAGGATTTGAAAACGAAATTAAGAAAGAAATCCAGGCACACGAACAGAAAAAGACTAAGTGTGAGGATTTAGACAGTACGGTGTGCGAACAGTGTGTTTGGCATGAGCAGCGTTTCATTCGCATAGAGAAGGAAATGCGCCAAAAACGTTTAGAAGAGCGAAACCTTTTATTAGATGAAAAAAAAAGATGTGAAAGTGAGCTTGTTTTAGCCAAAAGACAGGTAGAAGAAATTGAAAACGAACTTAAGAAAGAAATCCAGGCACACGAACAGACAAAGACTAAGTGTAAGGATTTAGACAGTAGGGTGTCCGAAAAGTGTGTTTGGTATGAGCAGCGTTTCATTCGCATGGAGAAGGAAATGCGCCAAAAACGTTTAGAAGAGCGAAACCTTTTATTAGATGAAAAAAAAAGATGTGAAAGTGAGCTTGTTTTAGCCAAAAGACAGGTAGAAGAAATTGAAAACGAAATTAAGAAAGAAATCCAGGCACACGAACAGACAAAGACTAAGTGTAAGGATTTAGACAGTACGGAGTGCAAACAGTGTGTTTGGCATGATCGGCGTTTCATTCGCATGGAGAAGGAAATGCGCCAAAAACGTTTAGAAGAGCGAAACCTTTTATTAGATGAAAAAAAAAGATGTGAAAGTGAGCTTGTTTTAGCCAAAAGACAGGTAGAAGGATTAGAAAAGGAACTTGAAAAGCAAATCCAGGCTCACGAACAGACAAAGATTAAGCTGGAAGATTTGAGCAGTGAGATGACTCATGAGTTTGTTCGCCAACAGAAGGGTTTCAAACTCAGAGAGAAGGAAATGCGCGAAAAACTTTTGGAAGAACAAAACGTTTTGTTGGATGAAGTCAAACAAAGACATGAAAGTGAGATTATTTCTGCCAAAGAACAGGTAGAAGGATTAGAAAAGGAACTTGAAAAGCAAATCCAGGCGCACGAACAGACAAAGACTAAGCTGGAAGATTTGAGCAGTGAGATGACTCATGAGTTTGTTCGCCAACAGAAGGGTTTCAAACTCAGAGAGAAGGAAATGCGCGAAAAACTTTTGGAAGAACAAAACGTTTTGTTGGATGAAGTCAAACAAAGACATGAAAGTGAGATTATTTCTGCCAAAGAACAGGTAGAAGGATTAGAAAAGGAACTTGAAAAGCAAATCCAGGCTCACGAACAGACAAAGACTAAGTTGGAGAATTTGAGCAGTGAGATGACTCATGAGTTTGTTCGCCAACAGAAGGGTTTCAAACTCAGAGAGAAGGAAATGCGCGAAAAGCTTTTGGAAGAACAAAACGTTTTGTTGGATGAAGTCAAACAAAGACATGAAAGTGAGATTATTTCTGCCAAAGGACAGGTAGAAGGATTAGAAAAGGAACTTGAAAAGCAAATCCAGGCTCACGAACAGACAAAGATTAAGTTGGAGAATTTGAGCAGTGAGATGACTCATGAGTTTGTTCGCCAAGAGAAGCGTTACAAACTCAGAGAGAAGGAAATGCGCGAAAAGCTTTTGGAAGAACAAAACGTTTTGTTGGATGAAGTCAAACAAAGACATGAAAGTGAGATTATTTCTGCCAAAGGACAGGTAGAAGGATTAGAAAAGGAACTTGAAAAGCAAATCCAGGCTCACGAACAGACAAAGATTAAGTTGGAGAATTTGAGCAGTGAGATGACTCATGAGTTTGTTCGCCAAGAGAAGCGTTACAAACTCAGAGAGAAGGAAATGCGCGAAAAGCTTTTGGAAGAACAAAACCGTTTGCAAGTATGCAACGTTTCATTAGAGGAAATGAAACGAAGATATGAAAATGACATTCTTTCTGCTAGACAACACGTTACAACTTCACAAGGAAATCGACGATCACAAAAGACAAAATGTCAGATTCAATAAGACAGTTCAGAGATGGAGACATTAGTCCAGCAAATGATGAAGAAAATGAAACAAATTTATAGAAAACGTGGAGAAATGAAGACTTTCAATGAAGAAATGAAAACAAAATGTAGATCAGAAGATTTTTCTGCCAAAGGCAACGACTGCAGAAGTGACAGAAGGACTTAGCTGAGAGACATCTCCATAAACAATCACAGGAGGTGTCTCTGCAGCGAGAATCCTTGAAGGAAACAGACTCAGTTACAAAAGTCTCTAGAAGGTGGATGGTGAGGACTAGCCCACCATCTTTAAAATTAAACTATTACTTAGAGTTTACAGAAAAATGGATTATTCTGGAAAATATACTGGGTAGGGGCCCTGGTTAGGCATAGCTGTGTTAGATACAGATAGAAATAAAATAGTTAGAGTTTAAAAACCGGGCAGCACAAGAGTCTGTTGAGACTGCTACACTTGTGTTTGCGTGGGGTTTTCTCTGGGCGCTCCAGTTTCCCCCCATAAACCCTAAACACTCATGTCTGTGGAAGCTTCTGTCTGGGCCACACGAAGTTTAACAAAAGAACATTAACAACTAGTTTTTAGAAAGGGACCTGCCTGTTAGCAAAAGAGAGTGGCCATGTGTTAAAGAGGCCTAAAGTCAAGATGTTTGGGTGACATAGTAACCAAAATCACCCCAAAATCAAGACGTACCACATTTCCCACGGCCGAACCGCTCGTTTGGGTGTAACGTGTGCGGAAGTCTGAGGACACGTGTTACGAACATACACGTAATTATAAATAAAATGTACCCTCTCAGGCTCAAAATAAGTTTTGATAAAAGGACGAACAACTAAGTCCTTCAGGGGAACTTCTGAGTTAAAGACTGCTCATGAAACACGTGTGTGGAGTAACCAGGTAGGTAGGTTTTAACTGGGGGGGGGTCCTACATTGGTCAAAATGTCCGGTTTTTCCTAGCAGGGTCGAATTATGGGGAGGTAGAGATCTTTCAGGGAAAGATCCAGTTTCTGCCTATATTACAATATTTATGGACTCCCAGCATAGCGGGATATGTTGAGCGGAGAGGACGCAGAGCGCCTCGTCCAGCCAGTAGCGGTTTTAGGCACGGTCAGACAGGGCAGTTGCCCGGGGCGGCATTTTTTCATGACACAAAGGGGCGCACAAGCGCTGAGTAAAAAAATAAAAAAGAAAGAAATCTGCGCCGCACCGAGGTTTTCTATTCTATCTGTCATATCACAGTGTCTGGATTGGAAACAGCAAGTTGGCGCCCCCTGCAGCTGCAGACGCTCCTCTGACAGAGGGTTCAGGTGCACCGTGTGTGTATGAAGAAGAGGAAGGGGAGGGGTGCGGCGGGGGAATTCACCTCTGGGTCTTTCCCAAATGAAATGAGTGGGTAGGGGCTGAATCAACTGTATTAAATGGCTAAAGTCAATCACATCTTGATGTTCTTCCATTTAACGCACATTTCATTCATAATATCATAAACACAGGCCTATCATTCTGGGATTTTAATGGTTAAATTCGGTCAACTAATTGCTAACAGAGCTAATAGGGCTGAATTATTGAAACGAATATTCAAATGGTTCGAAAAAATTCCTTGAATCGTTTTTTACTGATTCAAACTAGGATTTGTTAAATGCTCGCTGCAGCCTGTGGCCTGCCTGAACAACAACAAACATATGTTGATCATGTTCACATAATAATAAATAAAACAACTGTACAAGCAGAAGAAAACTCCCCAGTCACCACTAACTATCCTGTTTATTTATTGCAGATGGCTGCACTGACTATTTTTTACATGATTTGTTCTGTAAAAGTTGACATTTTTGGTAGTCTACAGTTTTTTTTATGTCAGTTTAAATTACAATTTCAGAGGCAATTCTAAAATATTATGGATCATGATAAAGATCTATTGGAGATCTACCCCAACTTTTGGACTGCTCTGCCAGTCACTGTGGCTCAAGCTGAGAGGAGCTTTTCAAAACTTGATCAAGTCATACCTGAGGTCAGCTATGTTTCAGGGGCGGCTCACTAACCTGGCTCTGATTAGTATCAATCACTCAGTAGGGGAGCAGACTTCATATGACGACATTATTGATGACTTTGCATCAAGGTTAGGTTTTAATTTTAGTTTGTGTTTTCTGTTCTAAGTGCAATGCTGTAGTGATTATCTTTAGTTTGTTATGTGTGACACATTTTTGCTATTTAGAATATTTATTATGTATTATGTTCATATATTCTTAATATTTAGTTATTGTTTGTTTTTGTGTATTTGATTTTATATATTTTGATAGAGTATATAATGTATATTGCTTTACATTCTGACAACTTCATAGTAATTAATGTACATTTGTGCAACTTAGAAAAATGAATGTTCAATAGTCATTCTAATAAAACATGCCTGTTTGTAGAAAACATGCGTGTGTTCGTGCAGGTGGGGTGTTGGTCGTGGTGGGGGTGGTTGGGGGCGCTCAACGGGGGCCTCGCCCGGGGAGTAATTCTATGTAGAACCGCCACTGCGTCCAGTGCACGATGCATTCTCAAGGTGGCGCAACAAAACATTATTACTTTGTCGGTCATTTCAAGGCGTTTTGGGGGCCAAGGCAAAACGGAACACCTCCCTACTCCTATAACTGGGTTACCCCGGAAGACTTTGTGTAATTCCTACCCTGTCCAGGAGTATTAATTATACAGTTTTTATAAAAAACACCTCAGACATCACTGACATGTTCTAATATTGTCCGACGAAAAACAAAATTGTCGGACCCGCCGTCTCATCTGCTTCTTTTCTAAACTCACAAAAATCTGTCAGTAACAAAACCGTTTGAAAGCCTCTATTTGCGGATTCTCTGAACGATGCCATGGAGTCTGTGACAACTTTCTTTTTCACTGATCCAATCGTCTAATCTCACAGCTGAAACAACGCTTTCTTAATAATCTGTGCACAGGAAGCTTACAGATGCTTTAGTTAAACAAAAGGTATAATTTCTTATTAATAAAACATTGTTGCAGCACTAAAGCAGCAGAATAATGAACATTTTGCAATAAATATGCAGAATATTTACATAGGAATTGTTTAGAGCCCTATTATTGGCAGAATCTGATATTAATTTTAGCTCTTCACCTGGAAAAAAAATGGGCCCTAACGTGGTTTGAGTGGTGTTGCCATGTGTAGGCACAGATAAAGTGGACTAGATTTTTCTATTAGGGCAAATTAATTTGTGACAATAATTCTACACTAATTGCAGACATAGAACAGAATTAAAGAAGCTTGTGTGGAGCCAAAGTTTCTTCAGTAGAAGCTCATCAACCACAGGTGATGAACCAGACAATTAATTTGACACGTGTCAGATGAGTGCTCTTCAGTCTTTTCTTTCTAATAATTGTTGTAATTTATTTACTTGTTTCACAAAAAGAGTCCCATGTAGTTTCAATATCCATTATTCAAAAGTTTCAATGTCCATAGATTCCATCATTCACCTGACACGTGTCAATAAAACCGTTTGCCCTGTCTCAATCCATCACACCTGAATCTAATTACACCGGGATTTAATCAATTTCCCTCTGGGATTAATCAATTTCCCTCTGGGATTAATAAAGTATTTTTGAATTGAATTGAATTGAATTTGAATTGAATTGAATTTCTCAGCTGCTTTGGTGCATTTCTCACAACAGAATTGACCTCTGCACCACTATTAAGCCCTTTCTCAGAACAATTAGTGCAAACTGCAAAACATGGTGGATGACTTGCAAAAGTGAGTCACTTCATCAAAACAGATAATATATTCATCGAAAGCAAGTACTGTATTTCCCCAGTTGCACAATGCTGTGAACAGTGTCCATTACTAAATATTATCAAGAGTGCATATGAAGTGTCTTGATTTTCCTCTACAATTTATGGATTTCAACATGCCATGCAGGCTGTTCAGACTTGACATGTCATTGGGAAGCACCTAAATCCGTCACAATGAGAACATGTTCAAACCATTTGATTTTGTGACCAAAGGTGCCGGTGGAATGACTGGTAATTGTGACAGCCCTGACACTGTGATTGATATAAGTACTTGCTTTTGATGAATATATTATCTGTTTTGATTAAGGGACTTGCTTTTGAAGCATTGACTACTTATTTTGAGCAACTGACTTTTCTTTTTGATGAAGTGACTCACTTTTGCAAGTCATCCACCATGTTTTGCAGTTTGCACTAATTGTTTTGAGAAAGGCCTTAGTAGTGGTGCAGAGATCAATTCTGTTGTGAGAAATGCACCAAAGCAACTGGGAAAAACTGTAAACTTGTGTGTTATTGTGTGGGTGAGTTAGCGGTTGCTACAATAAAACAAGAGCCACTTAAACGAAGTAAAATGTGTGCAACTACAGTCATTTTTATCAACCAGCTTTGTTGTAGTTCAGGAAATTGTGTGACTCTATTTCTTTCATCAGCTGCAAAACGAGCTCGTCTCCCACTGCAGTGAGACAAAAGGACACCACTTCCATAAAAATGTCTCTTTATTATAGTTTTCTTGACTTTGCTGTGACGACTGTGTTTGTGCAGTCCTCTGGTTTAAACGAAAACAAGTCTTGCACATGACCAGACACTGTGGAAGTGACGCAAAGTTCCAGACCCGGAGAAGAAATCAGCCTGATTGTCCGCATGGATCAATATTGTTTATAGAGGCACACTTTGCTAAATATTGATCCCCGGAATCTCTGTGAAGTTTTCTTTTGTAACTTTGATCCATTCATACATACATCCGGCTCTTGTTCGGGTTATGACTGCAAAAGCCTAAGCAGGGAGGCCCAGACTTCCCTCTCCCCAGCCACTTGGGCCAGCTCCTCCAGGGTAATCCTAAGGCGTTCCCTGGCCAGCCGAGAAACATAGTCCCTCCATCGTGTCCCAGACCACCTCAACTGGCTCCCCTCGACGTGGAGGAGCAGCAGATCTATACTTTGAGCCCCTCCCGGATGACCAAGCTTCTCACCCTGTCTTTTATGGAGAGCCCAGACACCCGGCGGAGAAAACTCATTTCAGCTGTTAGCTTTTATGTCAATCCTACATTTTAGTGACAAAACGCCTCAAGATTGAGTGAACATGTCCCCAGTGCATCATGTT